TCTCTCTCTCTCTCTCTCTCTCTCTCTCTCTCTCTCTCTCTCTCTGACTCCCATCTCGCCCTTCCAGCATGGGATATTCCTCATCTCTCCCAGCTGATTCTCCCTTGCAGGGCCTCTTAGATAATTTGAAAACCCTGATCCTGGCCCCTGATATTAAACCAAAAAGGCTCATAAAATACTGTACCCTGGACAGGCCTGCATACTCCCTGGACAACCAAAATGTTGGCCCACGTGTGGGATCCCAATTTACACTGGGATCTTTTTAATTACGGTGAGTGATAAAGAAGTGGAAGGAGATTCCCTACATGGAGGCTTTTTCCTGCTAGGATCTCACCCAAATCTCTGCACCCAATGCAAGCCTCAGCACCTACTCCTTGCTCTCAAACCCCCTTCCTTCTCTTCTCATCCACTCTCTGCCTCCACACCTCCCCTCTTCTTCCTCTTCTCTTCTGTCCACCTCCACTTTCCACCTGGCTGATGAACCCCTCCATACCACTCCCCCTGCCCTCAGCCCTGCTCTCCCCAATTTCACCCCCTCCCACTTCCCCAGCCTCTACATCTGCAGCTTCTTCTTCTGCAGACACTCCTCCTCCTCCTCCTCCTCCTCCTCCTCCTCCTCCTCCTCCTCCTCCTCCCAACACTCCCCCACAACCTCTTCCTAATTCTATTCCTTCCTCCTGGGTCTCTCCACTTCAGTTTACTCCACCCATCACCTGCTCATGCACTAATGCAGCACCTAACCCACAAGTCACCAAATCTCATCACCCAACTCAAAATTCACAGGTTGTGGCCCCCCTTTGAGAGGTCTCCAGACCAGAAGGGATTTTAAGGGTTTATGTTTCTTTTTCTATGCTTGACCTTTCTCAAGTAAAAAAAAATGGGGGGAACTTACACTGCACACTGTCTCTTACATTAAAGAGTTTCAATACTTAGCCCAAGCCTACAGCCTCACCTTTCATGATCTCTCTATGATTCTCTCCAACACTCTCCTCCCTGAGGAAAGGAGAAGGGTCTGGGACCAGGCAAGGGCCGATGCAGACCAGGTTCATCAGACTGATGTCCACCATCCCCTAGGGGCCCAGTCGGTTTCAGACCAAGACCCCCGTTGGGACTATAATGACCCCCAAGACCTGGGATGCAGGGACCACCTTATTACCTGTCTGATGGATGGCCTAAAGGTGGTGGCACAAAAGGCTATTAACTTTGACAAACTCCAAGAAGTTATCCAGGAGAAGAATGAAAACCCCTCGGCCTTCCTAGACCGACTAACAAGGCTCTCTTCAGTACACTAACTAGGACCCTGAATCTCCGAATGGGAGGCAACTTCTTATGGCCTATTTATTTTCTCAAAAAGCTACCCTGAAATATGGGCAAAGCTAAAAACAATTAGAGAGGGTCCCTTGACTCCTCAGACAGAGGTGGTGGCCATGGACTTCAAGGATTACCACCACAGAGATGAAAAAGCAAAACTCTCAAAAATGCCAGATGTTGGCCCAGGTGTCCCAGGGATCCTTCCAACCTATGGAAAGGGGAAGACAACAACCCCCACAATGAGGACCCCCTGGGCCCTGCTTTAAGTGTGGTAATGAAGGACACTGGGCTACGGTTTCCACTAACCCCAGGGCAGCGCCCAGACCGTGCCCCAGATGCCGACATCTTGGCCACTGGGGATCGGAATGCCCCAATTCTGAGAGGGGAGCTGAAGTCAGTTCCTCACCAGTGACTTGTTGGGCCTAGCAGCCAAGGATTGACAGGGCCCTGGGTCTTCTGTCCCGACCTATTCAATCACCAAGCAGGAACCCAGGGTGGTTTATCTGAGTGGATGGGCGTCTCATAAACTTTTTGGTAGACACCAGGGCCACAGTCTCGGTTATGAGAGAGTTTTGAGGAACCACCTATC